ATAAGCCCCCCTCTCTCTAATAAGCCTCCCTCTCTCTAATAAGCCTCCCTCTCTCTAATAAGCTTCCCTCTCTCTAATAAGCTTCCCTCTCTCTCTCTGACCCCTCGATTACATTATAGATTTGATTGACATTTGTCGACTGAACTGTATTTTGAACTGAACAGAGCTGTATTAAAAGAAAGGTTTACCCGCTAACCAGACAGTATTACAGCAAATTGAAACAAGCTAACCAGATAATATTCCTGCTAACCAGATAAAATAGCAAGAACATGTTGTATGGCAAGAATAATGAGTACAAAGTAGATATGATAGTTTAATTGTATTTCGTTCTAGTTTGTACACGACTGTTGTGAAATCCATCTGTCTTCCACTGGAGTCAATAGAATTGGCAGTAACCGAGGGAGAAAGCTGGACACAACCTGAGGACCTTTCTGATGAGTATGATCAAGCTAAAGAACAGTTGAATAAAATGAAGGTAAGAGTACTACTGTCTTACTATCGTTACAAAATATATTGTTAGCCTAGAGTAAGGATTTCTTATCCAAATATACCCAGAAGTTTTCAAAGGATTACTGTGGCAATGGGGTAGCTTGGCAATCCAGAACACCCAGAGATGACTTAAAGCCTAGAAGCTGCTTTACGCTATAAAAGTTTACAGTACTAGCATCATCAAAGTTGGACTCAAAGACATTTAAAGGACGATGTGTTTCATGTTTCAAAGAAACTTCGACAGTGTTAACCGAAGTCTTTAAAAAGAGATTTACATTGTCATATACTTTGATGAAAGAATCATTTGATAACAGACTTCCATAGTGTCTTTTACAACAAAGAATGTGGCATTTTTTATTGGTCCAGTGTTACTACAGGAGGAAACCTGTCGTCTTTAGTAGTCGTACTGGAAGTACCTCTTCTCACATGTGACTGAGGTGAAATTATAATCAGAAAACTGTATATTGCAGGAATGAAATTGCAGTCCCAAAGGTGAACGATACATGTATTAATTATTATGTCACAAACGCGCCTAATATACGTAATTTTTTATGTTCTACAGTTGTCTGTGTTTGTTATTGAAACTCTTCATACGCGGTCGGCCGAAGTCTTGAAAGAAACCGCAGCACTTGTCTCCGAGCATGAATATTTGACTCCAGAAGATAAACAGAGCATTATAGAACGTGTTCATGCCTTGTCTCCGAGAACTGATGGTCTGCCTGCGGCTGCTGTGAATAAATATAAAAGGTGAGGGCAATAGATCAAACTATCATTTATTTTATTATGTTCATCGCTCAATTTACTTGCATATAGCTGCATAAAAATATTGTCCGAAAATTCTCCATCAAACCCCTTTTCTAATAGTCCCACTTCAGAAGAAATTTATGAAGATCACTTTTTCTAATAACCACTCCCTTTCCCCTCACTAAGAATCACATGTGTACTGAAACACATTAATTGGGAGAGAGTGTTCATGTTGATGTACAGTCTTTCGTACTTTCTACGTTTCTGCTTAATCAATGAACTCTCCTTCTTTTTTAAGAGGAGATTTTTTTGTATGTTACGTAACACGTGCTCAAAACTAATGCATACAATATACCACTTAGCTTATGACTAAATTCGAAATTTTTATCTTTCGATACGTTTCTCAATCGGCAAACAAATTTAAAGGTATGTTTGGTGCTTTATCTGTAAAATAATGCTAAAATGAAGAGATTTTAGATGATACGCCAAAGAAAAAATGATGTCTGAAGTTCAGTAAGTTTTGCTTATATGGCTGTAAATATGCATTGGCGTCAATTTTGAAGCATCATTGATAATTGTATTTTAATTGACAATTTTTAACTATTATTTTATGTTTCTCAACCGGCAGATGCATTTAAAAAGGTAGCTAACTCTATAAACTAGAGAATAAAGCTAAAACAAAGTAATTTTGAGATGAACGCCAAAAGGATTTTAGGTTTTGAACACTTTTCATTGAAAATACGCGACATTGAAAAAAATTGCCTCTTAATAAACCCTCAAACATACTTGCCATTTAACATCACTTAAATCTACGTTTAACCATATTATGCAGCCATTGTAAAACCTTTGTTGTGTTGTGTTTCAGAATGAATCGCGAGTTTTTGGTTCTAATCGAAAGCGAGGTTGAAAGTCGTGATGCGTGGATCACAAAGAATGAAGCGAAGATGGCATTACCTCCTGCAGAGGATGTTCAAGATCTTGAAGGATTTCTACAGCTCAAAGACGCTCATGATGTAAGTTATTGTTCTTATTTACGATCTGGTCGGTTGGAAACGTACTGTTCATGGAATGGTACCCTGTAAATTTAAGAAATTTACTGTGGCAGTCGCCTAAAAATGAGGAGTCGGTGTGTCTTTCGTCTCTGTGGCTGAGGTTTGATTTCTGCAATATACTATTGGAATCAGCGTGGATTATAACGTTTTTGCTTAGGTCTGACAAATGTCCGATTAACGAGACTGTTGCTCGGACATTGGCCAAGAATGATCAGCCAACTATTTCAACCATTTTTACGTGACAGTGCTACAGA